CTCCCTACAAATGATTTTTGATTTTGCGGCAATTTTAAAAATATTTTGATGTTTGAAGGTATTTTTGGGTAAAAGCTTTAACTTGAGTAATAGTAATTGGTGTAATTGTTGTAAAATTTTTATTTATTTTATAGGTACCTCTTACATTTGCATTTGTATAGATTTTTTTTCCTTCTGTCTTTTTTCTATTTAAAGTTATTTTTTAGTATTATTTTTAATTTACATACATTGGGATGAAAAAATCTCTTTTAGTTTTCTCTTAAAATTAATTATGTTTTTGTTTTATGGATTAATTAATTACATTTTAAATTAAATAAATTAAGTTTAATATGAATAATTTTAATTTCATAAAATTTTATTATATAGAATTAAAAAAATCCCTTAAATCTATTAAAAATACCTAAAAACTAATTATTTAATATTTTATTTTGCTATTGTATTTACTTTTATAGTAATGCTATTCCCTATGTCTCATAGTACTTGTTATTTTTTGACATTTTCTTCTAAATTAATGATTTGAGAACCATTTATATATTTACTTATATTATTTTTGAGAATAAAATTAAAATAAAAAAATATTTATCTACTATTGTTAAAAATAAAAAATAATAATTAATTAGAATAAGTTTAAAATAAATAATTATTATTATTTAAAAAAATAAGTAATAAATTTTTTCCTTCTTTTTAAAGAAAAAAAAAAAAAAACCCATCCCCACATTACAATGTAGTAAGAGGCAGAAAGAGATTCGAAATCACACCAGATAAGAACCCAATCAATTATAGGTCCCGCATGAAAGTGAAAAGTAAATTATTCCAATAAAAAAAAAAATCTCAATAAGATCCTCCCCCACATACAGTAATAGAATATTATTTTTATCCCAACAACAAACATTTAAAAGAATTTTTTTTTATTTTGTACTTTTTAGAATCAATGTTAAGAATATAATCAATATATTTTTTATAATTAATTTATATAAAAATAATAAAAATTAACTTAAATTTAATTAATTAAAACTATTTACATGATAATGATAATAAAATAAAATTAATTTTTATTATTTTTATATAAATTAATTAAAAATATATTTATTATATCCTTCACCTTAGACAAATCCAATTTAAAATTACATACTGTTGATTAAAAAATAAAAAATCACTATTTCCATTGAGGTACACCTAACTCCCATTTATTAAAAAAATTTATAATTTTTATTATCAATGTTATAATTTATTTTAAAAAATGGTTAAAGATTAATCGGAAACCTATTTCTGACTCAGTCTAGGAAAACTTGGAGACTAAGGAAACGCAACCTTACGGGCTTTTATTACCAGGGGCCCATGTCCATTGCA